GGCGGGGACAGCGGGCACGGGGCTCGCAGTGCAGCATCGGTAGGGTCGCGCTCTGCAGCACCCAGCCGCACGCTTTGATAGTCTCCTCTCAAAGGGGACTTCCATGGGATCAGGACCGAGGTGCACTGTCACGTGTAGGAGCCTGCTTCTGCTCTCCCTCCTCCCTTCCCTTCAGTCAGCTCCGTCTCTCATCTCCGTCTTCTCCATCTTGCCTCTTGGTTCCAGTCACTTCACCACTACCACCTAAGGCTTCGAATCCAACACATTCAAGGCCGATCGTGTCCCCACGCCTGATTTCATTACCAGATCCTGGCCTTTAGACAGACCTTCCTAATAGAGCCCGTGAGCCCAGGGGTTTGGAGCTGGCCGCGCTTCCCGAGCATGGGCGCCGCGGAGGCTGCGCGTGCTGCAGTGCCGCCCGCCGCGGAGCTGCGCGGGCTTCCGCACCGCAGCCGCCTACTTCTGCAGCCGCCTACTGCTCCCTCGCCTGCACGCATTATTTGATCCTCAGCTTTCCCTCTGCACACAGAATTTGCATGGAATCTCTCCAATTTTGCATTCTTTCCCACACTTTGAGAACGCAGGAATTCCCAGCCCTAGTTGTTCTTTGTCAGGGCAGTTCCAGTCCTCGCTGTTGTTCCCTCCCCTGCCCTGGATCTCTTCCCTCTGTCTGTTCATGTGTTTGGGGGATTCTTTTCTGATGTTACCAGCGGGTCCAAGGCTGTTTGTCCAGCTAGTCCTGCAGCTCAGTTTCCTCTTCCTTCCTTTCCTCGCAGCTGTGCTTTCATTTTGTAAATCAACATTTAAGCCCTGGATTTATTTTTCTTTTGGCCATTTTTGTGCAGCTAATGTAACAGACCTTATGTAATGACAGAGCCGTTAGATGTGCGATGTCCTAAAGCTTCATGTCAATGTTGCAGTTCCCAAGGAAGGCCTGAAGAGTCAATCTCTGTTTGAAGAAATCCGCATGACTTACATCAAAGAGTTGGGAAAGGCCATAGTGAAGAGAGAAGGGAACTCAAGTCAGAACTGGCAGCGATTTTATCAACTGACGAAGCTGTTGGACTCTATGCACGATGTGAGTTTTGAAATGAAAGCTGTAAACATGCTAGATAAGTTTGGGCGTATTGCTGTAACCTTTTATTTATTTATTTATTTAGAGAGAGAAACACTGGCAGATATGCAACCCTACTGCCCAACTAGAGAAGCTTAATTGAAAAAGATTGATTTTGTGCTTTAGAGTGCTTTTGGATTTAACAGCAATTAATTTTATAATTAATTTAAATTGAAATCTCTTTAGTTTTTTACTTTGAAATGGCTTAACTCAAAACTTTGGAATTGCTTTCTGATAGCAGGGGAAATCTGAAATTTCAAAACAGGGTTGCCTTTAAGACAAACTATCAGGAATCTATGGAGTGTTTGAAAGTATGTTAAAGCAATGAATGGGTGAGTTTTTATAGTATTAGTAGCAGTTTAATTTTGCAAGGATTTTCATAATTCAGGCTGTCTCCTCTTGTGCTGTGCAGTGTGAATTGCACATGTGCTCCGCATAGTCCAAGGGGTGTCCGAACTGGCCAAGGCAGCAGAAACATTGGATTTGGGGAATCACCTTTTTTCCCTTAAGTTTACCAAGCATTTGCAAAGAGCCATATCGAAACCTTACTAAGATGATCCACCCTGGTATTACTTGTATGCCAAAATGGGAATCAAGGCAAAACCTCCTTGGGGTTTTTGAGGACCTCGCAAGGCCCCTGCCCTCGTGTCGTGTCCCCGGCACGCGCAGGACCGGGGGAGCCCAGGCAGGAGGAGCGCGGAGCCGGGCAGGGGTCCACATCTGGGTTAGCAATGCTGCTCTGTGCCTTGCCCTGCGAGTAACTCTCTCCTTTATCACTTGTAGGTGGTTGAAAATCTTCTGAGCTTTTGCTTCCAGACATTTTTGGATAAATCCATGAGTATTGAGTTCCCAGAGATGTTGGCAGAAATCATCAGCAATCAGATACCAAAATATTCAAATGGAAATATCAAGAAGCTCTTATTTCATCAAAAGTGACTGCCTTAATTCAAAAGGGTTGCCTTAAGAAAACGTCAGACGATAGCTTTTTTTTAAAAAAAAAAAAAGAAAAAGAGAAAGTAAAACCTACCAGACTCATTAATTTTATCCTTGCAGCGGTGTTTTTTTTGTAATTATGCACTACATGTGGTTTACAGAGGGCCAAGATTTAGGCTATAGAAGCAGCGGATTTCTCACATTCAAGAAAGAGTTGGGGAGAAGGGAAAGGAAAATCAATCTTATTTGTCAGAAATTACGTTTCTCCCCCTGTGCAACAATCGTGGATGCATCAAAACCACCGGTGACAAGCTCTGAGGCTGTGTTATGGACATTCTGCTAATTAATTTCTCTAGTTGGCTGGAGACAATTTTCTAGGCTTTTTTTTCCCTTTTTTTTTCTTTTTTTTTTTCCTTTTTTTTTCTTTTTTTTTAGTAAAGTGTTTTGGATTTTTTTTTTAAAGTTAAGGTAGCATTTTGGTTTATGCATGTAACCTGAAGAAAGTTTACAAGTGTATATCAGAAAAGGGAAGTTGTGCCTTTTATAGCTATTACTGTCTGGTTTTAGCAATTTCCTTTAACTTTATATACCGTGAACTAGGCTTGTTCATTTTTTCTTACATAATTTTTTTGTAATACTTCAAGATGCCTATTGTACAGCTGGTTTTTTAAGGTGGGGCAGCTCGTAGCTTTCCTAGATGACCTTGAGTATATTCATGTGAAAATGGGTTGGCCTTTTCTAACCTGATGGCTTTCAACTGTCAAAGAGGCGTAAAAATTAGGCATTTTTTAAGGGTCAGGGTGGGTGGGAGAATGCTCTCAAATCTAATTTAAGTAGATACAAATGACATAAATACTTTTGGTATAAGTGCAAAGTGTCGGATATGCAGATTCGTAGAGAATTAACCCAGTCCTAACTGGATGTAAATGAGCAGGTTATTTTATATATTAAAAAAAAGCCTGATTTTTGCATATAATGCAACAGCCATAACTTTGAGAGTCATGGGCTGCATTGATGCCAAGAAGATCAGTCCTGACTGCCCATCAGGAAATTTTCAGGAAAATATGCATAGCTTAAGAAAAGTTTACTTCTGTGTGGAGAAACTCACATTTTCTATACACTTAAATCTATCATCGTATAAGTATATATGGGAAAATATCATTGACTTAAGAGGCAGACTTGTAATTATGCCCAGTGGTTGTTTCTGTAGTTTTCTGTCCCGATCTGGAGTATTTGGCTGCGCTGAGGTGTTCGCCGCGGCGCCGGCCGCAGCGGGAGCCGCACGGCCCTGGCGCCCGTCCCGCGTCTCGTCTGTCCCTGGTGGTTCCTCCGCTTTCCTGGAGAGCAGGAAGACGCCGCTACTGGTTCTGTGGTCTTGGACTTGTATGTCGAACTTCCCGTCTTTGTAAGGCTGCATCCCTTCCTACCGACTTCCTGGCGTGCCATAAACCTACCATAGGCCGTGTGAATTTCTCCTGGTTGCCATTGATAATTGTATTTTAAACCGTTTAGAAGCTGTAGTAGCCTTTTCTACGTGCACCTTAACAATTTTCTGTATCTCAAAATTTAAATATTTACTAAGCCACTCTAAAATTTGATTTTTACTCAAAGTGGCCAGATTATTTGTGTAATAGAAATGAGAAAAATCATCTGATAAAATACAAAACCTAATATATTTTTATATTTAGTTATAGTTTCAAGTATGTATAATCGGTATATTCAGTGATCCGAGAAAAGAAGGGAAGGGCTACTGCAGCTTTAAAAGCAATTTACTAAATGATTGTAAAATAGCTTGTATAGTGTATAATAAGGATGATTTTTAGATGACAGATTGCTTTATCATGATACATGTAATTATATTTTTTGTAGGGGTCACAAGCCCGTGGAATGGTAGCCTGTGCGAGTGGGGGTTTGGCTGGAGGCCGTCCCGGCGGCGCTGCGGGGTCGGGGCTGCCTCGCGCCGCCGCGCGCCGAGTCCCCGCGCGCCGCTGCCGCGGGGCCGGGTGGACGCTCCCGCCTGCGCGCGGTGACCGTTCCCTGCAGCCGGAGCAGCGCGAGGAGCCTGGCAATAATGCGCATACAGGTACCAGCAATATGTAAATACGGAGCAGAGGCCGTTCACCACACACTAGCACATTTCTATTGCTCGGCAAAGGCTCGTTTCCAAGCGAAATAGGAAACTAAATTTTCATCCTTTCTTAAATCTCTTTTTGAATGTTATACCTATTAAAAAATACTATATTCAGTACTTTGGAGTAAAATATCTTTAATAAAAAAAAAGTAATCATTCTCTTCTCTTTGAATGATCTGTAAAGAGTATGTACATTTTGTAACAGTTAAGCTAAACTTCAGTATTTTAATTATAGCTTTCGACCCAACTCAATGACAATATTTATGCGACTCGTTCAAGATGCAGATAGGAGTTTCTTACTGCTGGGTGCCAGAGGGGCTCTTTGCTCGAAAGAAGAGCCGGAAAACGGTTCCTGCCTTGGAGAGTGTTTTGCAGAAGGCTCTAAGGGGGAGGCTCCTTCGCTGATCCCGTGTGATCCCCATTGCCGGGGAGCGCGCGGGGCGCCTGGCGCTGGGCAGCATAGGAGCCAAGGCTGCCCCTTCCTCTGTGCGCCCCTCCGTTCATCTTTAGCTTAAGGATTCAAGGAGAAACAAAAGGAAACTGTGACGTGAGCAGAAAGCATTCATCCTGTACGTGCTGTTAGGTTTTAAACTTCACAATTAAAAAAAATCCGTAGTGCTGTAGTGAGCAGTGAGAAGTCCATGTTGTGTGTATCAGTAGTCCTTGTAGCACTGGGTAGTATCTGCACTCTGGATAAAGCAGGGAGATTTGCGACTTCTGTCCCTTCAGTGCCTTATCGCATAGTGCATGCGTGTGACGGCGGGGCGTGCGGCGCAGCGCCGTGCATTGAACTGCATTGCTGTGCATGGCCGTGCATGGCCATGCATTGCAGCACATCGCAGTGCGTCGCAGTGCGTGGCCATGCATCGCAGTGCGTCACAGTGCATTGCAGTGCGTGGCCATGCATTGCAGTGCGTCACAGTGCATTGGAGTGCATGGCCATGTATTGCAGCGCGTGGCTGTGCATTGCAGCGCGTCGCAGTGCATCTCTGTGCATGGCCATGCATTGCAGCGCGTGGCTGTGCACTGCAGCGCGTGGCAGTGCGTGGCTGCGCATTGCAGCGCAGGGCTGTGCCTCGCCGCGCACGGAGCCCTAGGAACGGCCTTACTAGGATAAGCCAGGTCACGGGATGGAGAGGGGAGCGACCACGTCCCCGCGCTTTGGTAATTGCCCGAGCCAAAACTTTGCAACCCCTTCGGTCCTGCCGGGGGCTTCGGCAGCGGCGCAGGAGCAGAGCGAGGGCAGCCGGGGCCGCGGCGCCCCGGGCCGTGGGCTGGGGACAGGGCTGGGCCTCGGCGCTGCCAGCAGCCGCTCCCACGGCTCCTACTCTATTTTCTATAGTAAACAAAAATATATAATGGGGCGGATCCTATATTGTACCGGTGTATGGCATTATTAAAAAAAGAATCATTATTTTTATCACAGTAATTTTAAACAGCATAAAGAAAAAACAAAACGGTGACTCCTGTTAAAGAATAAAAGTTGTAGTTTTTTATTCATGCTGAATAATTCTGTAGTAACAAGTCTGTAGTTTTCACCTACTCAGTGAAATGTTGGACTGTAAAAGCTTGTGTGGAACTGTTGAACATTTATTTTTTCATTTAAATTTGCTGTTCTGGTAATACAAAGCCACACATCTGTACAGAAGTTGCAGTAAATGTGACTCATTTACAGCAATGCCGAATAATGGACGGAAACCATATAATAAAATTCTGCTTTTTTCATTAAACGGCTTCAAAATGCCTCTGTGGTGGTTTCGCTGTGTCCCTGCAAGCGGCGCTGGCCATGGGTGCGTCAGGGCAGGTGGGGTGTTTTCCCTGTTCCTGCATGCACAAAACCCACCTGTCTGTGCGGCAGGTCCTGCCCCAGCCGAGCCCGGAGCAGGAGCATTTCGGGGAGCCGCATTTGGGCAACCGGGAGTCCGAGCGGCGCTTCTAGCCCGGCCGGATCCGCTGCCCCCTCCAGGCTCCTGCTCCCAGGGGGGGACCGGGACCTTCTGCCACAGGCTGGGCAGGGCAGAGAAGCCCCTGTGGATCCCCGGAGTGATTGAGCCAGGAAGGACAAGACACGGCCCCGAGTTAGAAAGACTGGATTTTATTTCCAAGCTGTTCTGTTGCTGCGGGGCTTCTGGGGGTGCCGGGAAAGCCCTGGTGGAGGGAGCTCGGGGAGGTGGAGGTGGAGCAGCCAGCTGGGGAGGGAAGCCCTGCTCAGCACTGCGCTGCGTAGCGCGACTGCGCGCTGGGCATGGCCGCTGCACGCTGGGCATGGGGATTACGCGCTAGGCATCACGATTGCGCGCCGGGGATGGCGATTGCACACCAGGCATGGTGATTACACGCCAGGCATCATGACTGCGCACCGAGCAAGGCGACTACGCGCTGGGCATGGTGATTACGCGCTAGGCATCACGATTGCACGCCGGGTATCGCGTTTACTCACCAAGCATGGCAACTGCGCTCCGGGCACGGCGGTTACTCACCGGGCATCATGATTACGCACCAAGCATCGCGATTGCGCGCCGGGGGTGGCGATTGCACACCAGGCATGGCGATCGCACCCTGGGTATCGTGCCCAGCGCTATGCTGAAGCCTCATGTCAGTGCAGCAGAAGAACCTTGGGGCGGTGGCACCAGGGTGGAGGTGGCTGTGCCGTGCACTCCTGGCAGCCCAGGCGCCTCGGGGCGCTGGCGCCGCGCTGCCAGCGCTGCCCTCTGCATGTCCCAGCACGGCTGGCCCGGACGCTGCAGGAGCTTCCCGCAGCCAGAGCGTCCCCCACGCAACGGCCGGGGGCGCCTTGGCCAGAGCAGCAGCGACAGGCAGATGATCGCGGGTCCCAGCGCGATGTCACTCTGCTGTGATGGCCTTCAAACCATCAGCCCCTTGCCTGGGGAAGAGGCTTCTACACGGGTATTTTTTACAAAACTCGT